ATTCTACCCATAGCATCCTTAAGTATTGCAACATGAATATGGTGGTGGTGGTGTTGTTGTTAGGTACCGTCGAGTCATAGATGACTCATAGCAACTCTATGAGTTCCTGGAGGCAAGCAATTTTGGCAGTGGATGTCACTCCTGCTTTCAGGCTTGTTTTAATAGGGAAGCTCTACCAAACACTGTCCACCATGGATAACCATTATCACTTTTGGCACATCAATGTCACAGTGTTCAGCATCACAGCAACCAAAAGTTACCTCTGTACAGCAATGCACAGACCAGTGCTATGCCACCTAGAAGAATGTTTGACAGAAAAACAATTTGAACGAGGCCTGAGGGCCGCAGATTAAAATCACCCACCTTGGGCTTGGTAGCATAACTTTCTGTCCAGTAGGCTCTCTCTATGTTGTTGTTATTATTGTTGTTAGGTGCCGTCGAGTCGTAGATGACTCATAGCGACCCTAACACACAATTAAAGACCCTCCCCATCCACAGTAGCAAGAACAACATAGATCTAAGAGATCTAAGGAGTGCTTGGATGCAATTCTTTCTTATAGGAAATTTGCTGTCACAATGTCCTGATTCTGGGAGTGTATTGAAAGAGAACAACCAGAACTTCAAGCTAAATTTAAAAGAAGCTGTGGCACCAGGGATATCGTTGCTGATGTCAGATGGATCATAGCTGAAACAGAAAATATCAGAAGAATGTTTATTTGTCTTTTATTGGCTACGCAAAGACATTTAACTGTGTTAGTCATGACAAATTGTGGAAAACACTCAGAAAAATGAGGATCCCAGAACTCTCAATTGTGCTCATGTGAAAACTATACCTAAACCAGAAACTGTTGTCCAAACAGGGTAAAAGAACACTACAGGGTTTAAAATGTGAAAAGATGTTCATCAGAGCTATATCCTTTCTCCAAATTTATTAAGTCTATATGCTAAATAAATTATAAGAGAAGCTGAACTTTATCAAGAAGAATGTAACTCCAAGATTGGAGGAAGACTCATAAACAACCTGCATTACCCAGATGATGCAACTGTGCTTGCTGAGATTGAGGAAGATTTGAAGAACTTGCTGCAGAAGATCACTGACTGCAGCCTTCAATATGGATTCCATCTCAACATCAAGAAAACAAAAATCCTCACCACTGGAACAATAGGCAACATCATGATAGATGGAGAAAAGATTAAAGTTATCAACAATTTCATCTTGCTTAGAATCACAATCAGCATTACTAGTAGCAGCAGTCAAGAAATCAGAAGACATGTTGCATGGAGAAAATTTGTTGTCTAAAGTGTTATGAAGCAAAGATGTTAGTTTAAAGACTAATGTGACCTGTTTCAAGCCATGGTCTTTTTAATTACTTGCTATACATCTGAAAGTTAGATGATGGCAGAAGAATAATCAATGTCTTTGAGTTGTTTTTCAAAATAGTACTGAATATTCCATGGACTTCCAAAAAACATCAATAAGTATGTCTTGAAGAAAGTGCAACCAGAGTGCTTCTTAGAGGCGAGGATGGTGAAACTTCATCTCATATACTTTGGGTCTGTTGTCAAGAGAGGCCAGTCCTTGTCAAAGGACATCATGCTTTAAAAGGTTGAGGGATAGTGGAAAAGATGAAAATCCTTAACAAGGGGATGATGCAGTGAGTGTAACAGTAGGCTCAAGTATATCAGAGATGATGAGGATTGCCCAGGATAGGCAAGATTGTTCATTTGGTCATTATGAATAGTTGTCAACTCAATGGTACCTAAAAATAACAACATAAGACATTTGTCCTCATCTCCATCACACTGCTGTCTCCATGCACAGCTCAGGACAAGAACTCCACATAGTTTGTTAAATGATTTTTTTACATAGGTGGGGACTTTTTCACACTGAACTAGGGTCATGTGAAAGCAGAACTTCAAAGATATAGGCCAGGCCTATGTAGCCTTCCCAGGCATTCAAGACAGATGTGGCCCCTCAGAGTTCTGTGGCATCTGTTTCCACACCATGCTCTGACTCTGGACTGTCTTCTCAGGGTCTAAGGAGATCTGGAACACACAGGAAGTACATGAGTGTCACTGCAAACTATCTGTAAGGACTTTGGACCCAACCTATAGCAATCTTGGGTTGCTGAGTTTAAGCAATCCTAGGAAGGGAGATGACTACAGTGGTTTGTGACACTCAGAAGAAAATTCCTTACAGGCAGCTAAGAGTCCTTTGCCTGATGGTGCCTTAGGCAAGGAGACAGTGATCTTCATATTTCGCACAGTGGCAGTACCAAAGGGATAAAAAGTAAAAGTAGCAAAGAGATAGTTCCTGCCTCGTTCTGATTCAGACATTTAAAAAATCCTTTAGAAGGTAGGCTTCATGGAGTGTACTACTCCAATGCTGAGAACCAGATGGGTCCCATTGCTCCACCCCTGCTGTGCTCACTCAGCAAATATCCTGCCCAGCCTATACAATCCCACCAGAGTAAACTTGAGTGAACAGACCTGAAGCCAAGCTCCTAGAGTGTCAGCAAAGCAACTAGAACTTGGAGAGAATAAAAGATGAAGCAACTGACGCATTCATCACTGAGACAAACAACCTACCTTATTCTCCTTCCAGCACAGCTCTCAGGTTTTGCTGCACAGCTCTCAGGTTTTGCTATTGTTTTTGTTTGTTGCTTTTTTTTAACTGTAAATCAATAGTGCTTCTAAGGTCTTAATGTGAGTGCTCCTTTGATTGTTAAAACTTTTCTCACGCTAAAGGAAACCAGAGGAGGAACCGAGGCAAACCAAGGAAATATACCACAGTCCCAAGATCCTCTACTGCCATCTTCTGGTTATCTGCCATAAATAAAAGTTGCCTTGGTGTTAAGAATAGAACTGTGTGCTCCTTAAGGTTCTTAAGAGCTTTATTTTGAAAGTACATTGTCAGGTTTTTCTTCAAATGCCCCTTGAGCTGACTTGAATCTCTAACCTTTTGATTACCAGAATATTGTCTTAACTTGGTATCCCACACATCTACACAGATTACAGATATGAACTGGAGACGTTCAAAGCGCAGGTCACACAACCATGAGTATTAGCCCCAGGCTGATCTGTTTTCCAAATCCTAAATGGTGATTTATTGAGCATTAATGACACATGTGGAATCAATTAGCTTACTGAAACCTTATAGCCATTATGAAACCTTAATGAGGAAGCTAAATCCTGGAGAAATTGAGTCCCTCAGCTGGTCTCTGGATTTTTACTTGGAAGTGATATTGATTGATTTTTGTGGTTTTTTTCTTTTTGTTTTTTATTTTTTTTATACTTGTTTACTTTAAAAATTCATAAAGTTTGTATACGAGTGCTCTGAGCTTCAGGTTTCTCCTCTGTAAAGTGGGAAGAGTATGACCCCTCTTTAACAGCTGCTGTGTGAGATCAAGACAAATGTGTAAAAAGTTAAGTGTTTTGTGAATTTTGGCCATTTAATTATGTCAACACTGTGAAGGAGTGCTTATCTCCCTACATCAGCCTCTTCCTTGGTGTGGGAGAGCAAAAAAAATAGAACCTGTAGAAGGTGGAAGGTAAGCTCAGCACAAGGAGTGATTGAACCTTTCATCATGGGGTAATCATTGCTTTGTTCTCCTTTGTAGACATAAGTTCTCTGCTCCTTTCTCCCAGGCCTGCTTCTACAGCCCACCCTGTAAGTGACAGGTACAAGTAAGAGACAAGGTCTGCTCCTCAGCAAGCAGCAGTTCATTCAGAGCAGAGAAGCTCCTGAACTTTTGGGATAGGGGTAAGGAAAGCCCCCAATTTCAGAGAAAGAAAGCTATGAGTGACAACGACAAGGGACTACCCACAAGCATTTAGCCAGGCATCCTGCATGGAAATTAACGTAAGGAGGTCTGGTTAGGGGGTCAATGGCTACTTGGATAGTCATTGGTGGTCAATGCCCATCTGGAGGAATGTCTGAAAATGTCTCTTGGGCTCTCTCTTTAGCTTGTGATGTAGAATATATATATATCAGGGATCTGACAGAGTCTACTCTGGCCAAGACTGGTTTAGAAAAGACCTAAGAGTGAGAGAACCTCTGTGAAGGTCAGAAGTGAAAACCTAGACACAAAATGCAGATCATCCACCACAAAAGAAAAGTCAGAATGTTTGTGGAAAGGCACCAAGTGCCAAGAAAAGAAAGGAGGCAGGGCTGCATCTCACAAAGAAGTAGGAATTATGGACTTAAGAAAGTTATTACAAAGCAGGGTTCAGACAACTCACAGGATAGTGGGATTAAAGTTAGTAAGAAATTATGCCACCGAACCAAAGGCATGCAGTTCAACTCCACCAACTGCTTCTCAGAAGAAAGATTGGCAATCTCCTTCTGCACCTCTGAAAATGCTCTGGAGGGTCAGCTATGGATCAGTTCTGACTCAAAAGACACATAACAATAACAAACAACAATCTAAAGCAGTGAGCCAAGAGCATTAATAAAGCTGCCAAATCAACATGTGAAAATGAAGCCATAGTAACAACAAAAACAGGCATCTGAGCAGGAAAAGGAAGGTCCCACCACAGGCAAATTATGCAAAGCCCAGACTCTCAGCACACGAGCAGTGGCTGCTGGGTCAGTAAGAACCCTTGAAGTCATAACTGGTAGAAAACAGGAGCAGGTAGTGTGGAGCCGAGGAGCAAGATCATTTTGGCTATTTCTGAAGGAACTAAGAAGTAGCTGAAACATTTGCATGAACTGAGGAGAGTAGACACTGTGCTCTGGGTTAGAAGACCTTGGCATTCTGCTGTTGTTTCTAGAAATCAATCAAGGAAGCTCTCTCGTGCACATTCCCAGAATTTCCAGTCAGCTCCTAGAGCTGTATAGGAAAGAGCCTAGTAGTGCTCTAGATCCCTGGCAGAAGGCTTTTCCCAAGGCTGAGAAGCCTTCAAAAGGACCTTCCATATTCCAAGTGAAGTTACAAACTTTGTGGGCAGTGTTGTGGCATCAAGCAATGGAAACATCCCTCTTTTCCTCTCTCCCTCAGTCCTGATCGGCGTGGGCACTGAGACCTTACTTCAGGGGAAGTTCACAAGCCTGGCTTTCTATCTGCTGTAAGTATGGTTCCACTGTGCCCCTTCCTGCCTATACACTCTGCTCCCACTCACCCTGAATTTATCTGCTCAGAACAGAAGAGCTTCTTGCCCCTTTTCCTATGTTGATTCCATCCTATCATAAAGTGAACAGAGATGAGGATTCTTCTAGCATAATCCCTGATCTGACCATGGCTTTAATCAAGCCATCTCTAAAGCAATAAATTACTCTTCCTTCCTTCCTCTTATCTATCCATTCAACCACCCAAAACATCTCTAAATTCACTTGAGCAATTCACTTCATTGTTGTTGTTAAGTGCTGTTGAGTCAAGTACAGCTCATACCAACCTTACGAACAGAAGATCTGAAAAGAACAATTATCGTCATTTCTCTAGTGTATATAGGCTTTTCAAGGCCTGTTATTTAAGAAGTGTATACCAATCCTGCTTCCAAGTCTGTCTAAATCTGGAATCTGTACCAAATCCTGTCCACCATGAGTAACCACTATGGAATTTGACACACCAGTGGCACAGCTTTCAGTATCACAGCAACCCCAAGTTATCTCATAGAGCAAACTCACAGACAAATGCTGTACCACTTAGAACAATGTTCTCCCCAAACACAATTAACCCAATCAACTTTTAAATACAAAGGTCCACCCATAAGGTCCTGATTTATTTAAGCAAGAGGCTTCCAGCGCACAGCTAATTATTAACTAAATCCAAAGAACCAATCAACTTGCATCAATTGTTAATGAAATTTAAAAATGACCAAACAGTTTAACCCAACTTTCAGTTAAATCAAAACAACCTACCCTCCAGAATCCAACTCCTTCATACAGGAGCCAGTCATCTCTAACTCAATCAGTCTTATTTCCCTCCTCCTATCTATCCATCCCTTCACCCACTCATCTATTCATTTATTCATCAATACATCCATTCTTTTATCCATCAATTTGGCCATCTTTCCATCTGTTTGTTCATCTAGTTATCTATTCATCCATCCACTCACCCATTAGCGATGGAAGGATAGGGTGAAGGAAAAGGGAGAGTTCAGTTAGGACTTCATAAGATATTGTAAACAATATTGTTCAATTATCATTAATGTTATAAAACAAAATGTGTATGAGTAATTGAAGGAAAACAAAAATGCATTAATTCATTCTCTCATCCTTCTATCTATACATAGGTTTCTTTTACCTGTATGTCACTGCTTTAGCCCTCACATTTATGGCTTACAAGAGCCCTCTCATCACTCCCTGCCACCCCACTTACCACCCCTACTCATTTTTAAGGGTCCATCCAAACACTTCATTTCAGTGCATTAATACTGAACATTCTTCGATTTCTTTTTCCTAGATCATATACAATTTCCCAACCAGTTTCTTCCTCTCTAGCTTGTTTTTCACACTGCCACAGAATTGTTTTTATTGTTATTTTTAGGTGCTATGATTTACAACTTACAACAATTCTGTGAACAACAGATATGAACTTTGTCCTCCCACACCATCTTCTCACTATCTCTGGCATGATCACCACCATCGTTAAACTCACTGTATAGTGGTGAGGGATGACTTCTCCTAACAACATGCCCACAGTATGTGAAACAAAGTTGTACTTTTTTTGCCTCCCTGGTTGCACTTTCTCCAAGACAGACTTGTTTGTTCTTTTGGCAGGCCATGAGATATTCAGTATTCTTTTCCAATATCACAGCTCAAAAGCATTAAACATTCCTCTGCCACCTTTATTCATTTTCCAACTTTTAAATGCATGAAAAGCAATTGCATTATGCTATTGTGATTCCCTAGGATTTTGATTGTCTAATTTTCAAAAGTAGATTGCCTGACCTTTCTTCCTAGTTCATATTCGTCTGGAAGCTCCACTAAATTCTGTCTATAGTGGGTACCTCTACTAGTATTTGAAGCATAGTTTCCAATATAATAAGAACATGCAACCCTCCAATGTACAGCAAAGCAACAAACAGATCAAGAGACTGTGGAGCTAAACTTCTGGAAACTCAGATCCTTCAGTCTTAAAGGGCTTCTCATTGCTATTAGTTTATACTCTGCTCTCAATTCCTATTCTGCAGCACTCATATATACCCTAGAGCTCCTGAGTGTCTGTCCAACTGTTTTGGCAACCTTGATAATGTAGTGGTTAAGGACTAGACTACTAAATGAAACATCAGTGGTTGAATCTATCAGTAACTACACAAGCGAAAGATGTTTCAGTCTACTTGGTATCGATCACTGTCTTTGGGATCCTTATGGAGCAGATCTACTCTATCTGATAGGTTTTCTGTGAATCAGGATCTATTTGATAGCAATGATGTTGAAAGATATGACACCCATTCATCAAATTCCACCTGCTCTAAGCCCTGAAGCCCCCACTGGCTGAGAGAAATTGTCCATCACCCTAACCTGCAACTGTGTCTCATTAGCACTCAATTCCCCTGCTACCTTCCTGCCTTAACTGTTTCTTCAAGAGTCCTTCCAAATACCAGCCTCTCTCAATTTCATTCCTTTAACCCTACACACACACCTCTTCCCAGATAATGCAACCACTAGTGCCTGTCTCACAGGGAACACAAGTTCCTTTTAACAAAACTGTCCTCTTTTTCTCTGTGTCTCCAGCACTAAGCAGCTCTATGCCAAAGAGCACCAAACCAGGGACTAGTTGTAATTACCCTTCCTTGTTTCTTCTCTGTTTTTTCATTGGATACTTGATTCATCTATGTTCATCCTTCTTCCAGAAAGGTCATTACTTCCTTTCTCACACACATCCACAGTCAGTGGGATGGAAAACCCAGATTAAAGAGGGCAAGGGCCTCCCAGCCTACCAGGGGAAGGCCTTGTGCTTGAAATACTTGCCCTCTGCTTGCTCCAAGAGGCTTAGTCACTAGAACCAGACTGAAATCTGAATAAGGCTTCTAATTCCTCTAGGCTCAGTTTTCTTTTCTGTACCAAGACCTAGAAAAGGAAAAATTCCAGTGGTTTCACAAAAGCCAAGACTTAGTATGCATGGACATGCAGATCTGGAGCCTGAGTGCTGGGTTGATGTCCATGTTCCTGGTCACTTATGTGACTACAGTAAAGGAACTTAATATCTCAGTACCTCAATTTTCTCATCTATAGAATACAGTCAGTTTTATTACTTCTCACTAAATTGTTACAAGGATTAAATAAGTTGTTACTTGGGTTTTTTTTATTTTAATAAAAGTTTACAGAAACTTTCTATTTACTCCTTGCCCAGGTCTCCCGTCCAATTCACTTTTCTCTTTGAAAAGTAAAAAAAAAAAAAAATTCATTATTATACAATCCCTCCCTCTCCTCCAGTCCACTCCAATATGCAGCTTTCATTCTGGACACTTGTCATAACAATAATACCTAATCATATATTCCTCCTAAACAATTCCCTCCCTCATCTGTTTCAACGCAGTATACATTATCTCCTCTAAGTTTTCCTTCAACTCCTATGTCAGACCCAATTTACAACAGTGGCACTATGCAGTACTTGCTCTTTTGTGACTGAGATATTTCACTCATGAGATACTTCACTCAGCACAATGTCCAATTTCTCCACAACCTCACCAGCATTTGATATTTACTGTTCTGTTAAATTTTGCTATTCTTACTGGGCTGAGAAGATATCTCATAGTTTTTTTTTATTTGCATCTCTCTTAGAACTAGGGATTTTAAACACTTTTCATGTGTTTGTTCTCTATCTAAATGTTTTCTTTGGTGAGGTGTCTGTTCATATCCAGTGCCTATTTTTCGATTAGGTTCTTTACCTTTATCTTGTTGTGGTGCTCAAGTATTTTGTAAATAAGTCCCTTATCTGACATGTCATTACCAAATATTTTTCCCAGTCTGTGGCTTCTGTTTTTATCCTGTTGGAGAAGTTTTTGGTTGTGCATAGGGATTTGATTCTTACAAGGCCCCTTCATCTATTTTATCCTCTCCTGGTTGTAGATTTTTCAGGATGCTTGGAAGACTGTTTATGTTGTGGATTAGGACTTCTAGAGTTCTTCCAAGCTTTTCTTTAATGGAGTTTATAGTCCTTGGTTTTAGTCCTAGGTCCTTGATCCTCTTTGAGTTAGACTTTGTGCGTATGGAGTGAGATGTGGATCTTGCTTGAGTTTCCTACAGATAGTTTTCCAATTTTGTCAGCACCATTCTTAAAAAGGCTATCTTTTCCCCACTTGACTGATTTCATCTTCTTGTCAAAAATCAGTTGACCATAGGTAGATGGGCTAATTTATGGATTCTCAATTCTATTTCATGGATCTATGTGTCTGTCATTGTACCAGAATCTGACTGTCTTGACCACCACGGCATTGTAGTAGGATTTGAAATCAGGGAGTGAGATGCCTCCTACCTTGTTTCTCTTTTTAAGGAGTGCTTTGCTTATTCAGGGCCTCTTTCCATTCTAAATGAAATCAGAGATAGTCTTTTCCACCTCATTGAAGCATGGAATTGGTATTTGTATTGGGATTGCATTGAACATGTAAATTGCCTAGGGTAATACTGTCATTTTCACAATATTGAGTCTTCCTATCCATAAGCAAGGGATATTCTTCTACTTCTCCAGGTTTGTTTTTGTTTCTTGTAGTAACGTTTTGTAATTTTCTTTAATAGATTCTTTGTGCTTCTGGTTAGATTTACTCCCAAGTATTTAATCTTGTGATTAGCAATTGTGAAGGATATTGTTTTGCTAATTTCCAGTTCTATATTCTCTTCATCACTGTAGAAAAATCCAATTTATTTTTGTATGATGATCTTATATCCTGCCACTTTGCTGAATTTGCCAACTATGTCCAGTAGTTTTCTTGCTGACTCTTTAGGGTTTTCTATGTATACTATCATATCATCTACATGTAGAGATAATTTTACCTCCTCTTTGCCAATTTGGATACCTCTTATTTCCTTCTCTTGTCTTCTATCACTAAGACTTCTAATACAATATTGAATAGGAGAAGTAATAATGGGCATCCTTGCCTAATTCCTGTTCTCAAAGTGAATG